TAATGTTTTAAACTATTCCTGTTGTCCCTCAGTATCTCCTAAAACTAGGAAATAGATAATAAACAGAAAAATAAGAGTAAAATAAGAGTACATATTAAGAATATTACTTTAAATCAGGGCTTTTCATCTTCAGCACTTCACATTTAGTGCTAGATAATGCTGTGGTGGGGCTGTTTGCGAACTGCACGAAGGTTAGCAGCATCTTTAGTCTCTATCCACTAGATGCCAGTAACACCACCACCTCAAGTTGTGACAACCAAAAATGTCTCCAGACGTGGTCAAATGTTCCCCAGAGGACAAAATAACCACCAGTTGAGAGACTTCATTAAACATAGTAATTTTACTCAACTTCCACGGAAGAAACTTCAAAACCTCTTCATAAAAGACATTATTAACTAACTCTCAAAAACAGCTGCATTCAGGAAATTGACCTCCTACTACCCAAGTAACTAAAGCAGGAAATGTTCAAGGAGGGAGCAGACAATCTGTTTCCTGACACAGGAAACACACTTTCTCTCAAGCACTTGTTACAGTAGCTTTGTTTCCTTAGCTAGGCACGGTTCCCTGATTGAAAACTGCAGATCTGGGACCTGGAGAAATCTCCAGCAAAGCTTTGTGTGCATTTCTACACCTGAGTGCCCTTTCCTTAGAAAGACTTCCTCCCCTGCTGGGGAATCTTTCTTTTACAGGCAGAGTCTCTGGGGTTGGCATGCACCTGCCTGTAGTCTACCACTTGTGGGAGAGGTAAAGAATATGATAAGGAAAATGCAGCCTGTGGTTCTGATGTAATTCTGCCCTTAGTCCCTAACTATACTTGACTCTCCTGTTCTAATGCTAAGCAGAAAAGTAAGTTTTGATTTGCAGGCATGATGTGGGAGCTTTAAACATAAAAAGGCAGGTGGAACCTGCTCCCTTGACTTCTTCATTTCTGCCCACTTCAGGCATAAGCTAGTGGCAACATCACAATACATTCTTAATTTCAAAGTAGCAGATGGCTGCCTACAGGAGAGAAGAGTTGACGTTTAACTGCACCCCATTGTGCCTTCCTCTCTGCCTTGTCTAATGTCTGTTGCTATGAGAATGCTCAAATTGTACTGTCACCTTAAGCAGTGGGCATTCAACTGGCCCATCCTTTGTAGGGAGACAGTGTGGGGATTTCTTCCAGTAGCTGTAGCAATGCCTTAATGACAGTTATGCTTTTTCGATAATGGTCTCTAGTAAAACCCATTGACTGTCCATCTGGCTAGGGTTAAGAGTACAGAGTATCCCTAAGCATCTGAATATAGCTCTGAGGTTCCTTGATCTGAACTCTCTGACAATGGTATCATTAGCACAGGGCCACTGACCTATCCAGTCCAATGGCTGAGACAGAATTCAAACATTGCATTTCTACTTCCTAGAACTTTATGATAAAAAGTAACCAGAGAGTCATGGATTACTGCTGTGACTTCCTTACCTGCCTGAGGAGCAGTGAGCCTTGTTCCTTTTCCTGGAGACCTCGTGGTGCACTCCATCTTCTTGGGAGACACATGTGTAATGTCACATGGAATGCCTAATGAGAACAACAACAACAACAAACATATATAGATATTACATAGATATAGATACAGATATGAAGATAAGATAGCAAAACCAGATTGAAGCATTGCTGTTAGGTGCTGTCAGTTCTGACTCGTAGTGACTCTATGTACAACAAAACAAAATACTGCCTTGTCCTGTGCCATCCTCACAATCATTGCTGTGCTTGAACCCATCACTGCAGCCACTGTGTTAATTCATCTCGTTGAGGGTCTTCTCCCTGTTTTGCTGATCTTCTACTTTACCAAGCATGATATCCTTCTCCAGGGATTGGTCCCTTCTGACAACATGACCAAAGTACAAGAAACAAAGCCTGGCAATTCTCTCTTCTAAGGAGCATTCCAGGAGCTCTGGTAGCATAGTGCCTAAGGCACTTGACTGCTAACCAGAAGGCTGGAGGTTCAAACCCACCAGCCACTCCTTGGAAGGAAGGTTGGGCAATCTACTTCCGTAGTGATACTGCCTCGGAAACCCAAGGAGGGGTCGCTATGAGTCGGGCCGACTCGACGGCACATAATAACAACAACAACAAGGAGCATTCCATCTATACTTCCACCACGATAGATTTGTTTATTCTTCTAGCAGTCCATGACACATTCAATATTCCATATTCGAGTGCAGAGCAGTAGACCACAGTGTGGCTTATAGTAATCAGAAAGAAAGGACTGCAATGAGCATGTGCTGGCTGCCATCTATTCAGCTGAGCTTGGGAGGACAAGTGTAACTCAAGAGTGTGAGGACATTTTCCTGAATCTTTGGTGTCACCAGCTAAAGGAGCAGCCCACCTAGCAGAAGAAGGGTTGTAGACAGATCCCACAAAAGGATTTACCATGAGACATTTCAGAAGAGTCTGCATAGCAATGCCTGTCCACTCTGGAGTCCCTGGTTGGTGCAAACAGTAAACGACCTCAGCTGCTACCCAAAAGTTTGGAGGTTTGAGTTCACTCAGAGGTGCCTTGGAAGAATGGCCTGGAGATGTACTTTTGAACAATCAGCCATTGACAACTCTGTGGAGCACAGTTCTACCATGATCCACATGGAGTCGCCATCAGATCTATTTACAAATCAGAGAACAGTAGGTTACCTCATATAGAGAAATCAACCATGTAGGCACCAGACAAGGCCTCAATCCACCCATGTAAGTCTACAGTGTTCTCTAAGCAAACAAATGACACTGTCATCAGTATCCTCTCCCTCCTTGCCCCAGTCAACATAATGGCAACTAGTTACTGGTTAGAGCAAAGAGGGTAGGGAGAGGAGTTCCTTCTTAGTGAAAGTCAACCTTTTTAATGAGGCAACTGTACTTTTCTCTTTTCCATCAGGAAGAAGGAAGTCACTCAGCTTGCCCTGATCCACACCCCCAAAATGGGGATGCCTGAGAGAACCGCTAGTGAATTTTCAGCCTGTCTTCAGGAATAGAAGACTAACACCCTGTTTTCTGTTACAATTTGCAGATCTATTCCCAACCAAGCACAGGTAAAGCAGAAAGGCATGGTGAGTCTTAGGAGGCAAAAGTTGTGTCTTCCCATAGTCCCCTTGCTACAGGAGATACATAATCACCTATAGCATTTGAAACTATCAACTGTTTTCAGTCATTTTAACTTAGTTACCTGCAATGGTCACTTGGGCAGGGTTGTCAAAGAAATCTCCTGTAATTGTGATGTCTGTTCTTCCCCCAAGGCTCCCAGTTTCTGGAAACACAGATAGTATTTCTGCAAGAGAAGTACAAAGTATGCTTCTGAATACAGATCAGGATGTGACCCAAATAATAATATAATAATAGAAGCTATCAATAATTTATTACTTGCTTTAACTTTCTAAGACAAGCAACAGAATTTTTATTTTCTGGTAATACCCACTAAGGTCTCTGGGTGACACAAATGGTTTGTGCTAAACTACTGCAAAAGACTGGCGGTTCAAACCCACCTAGCAGCATCATGAATAAAAGGTCTGGCTATCTGCTTCAGTAAAGATTACAGACAATATAATCATATGAAATATTTCTACTTTGTTACAGACAGGGATGCCATAAATCAGAATCAACTCAAAAGCAATGAGTTTGGTTTGGGTTTAGTAACCAAAAAAAAAAAAAAAAAAACCAAACACGCTGCCATTGGATTTAGTAGTAGTCATTAAAAAATGTACATAATATGGAAAGGACTACATGTACATAAAATATGAGGGATCGATTTTTGAGGAGTGGAGAAATGCAATGCAGAGTAATTCATTGTATTCATAAAAGTCCCCTCGATACCATGATGGTTTCTTAGAAAATCTGTTTTCCTATCTCAAGGACCTATTTACAAGTCAGAGAACAGTAGGTTACCCCATATAGAGAAATCAACCATGTATGCACCAGACAAGGCCTCAATCCACCCATGTGAGTCTACAGTGTTCTCTAAGCAAACAAATGACACTGTCATCAGTATCCTCTCCCTCCTTGCCCCCTACCCCCGTCCCCCACTCCCCACACTCACTGCCTCATACCCACTTCTTTCATACTGCCTGCTGTTTGTTTAAAACCTCTATAGTAATACTCTACATATGGCCAAGAATTTAAATAGTTCTCATTCTTTCCCTCCTTTGATCAAATGTTAATAGTTCTAAGTTTAATTCCCTCCGATGGGAAGAAAAGTTGTATTCTCTGATAAACTGAAGGTACAAAAAGGCTAATCATTCCAAAATATTAATTTTATCAAGATATTTCCTATATAATTACTTTACCCATGAGACAAAACAAAGGAGATATTTAAGGGCAAAATTAAAAGTTGCCATGATTACTAGTAAAAATAATCCCCTTATTTTAATCTGCTACTTTATATTTTTTTCAACATTCACAGAAAAAGAAATAGTTCCTGTCCTTAAGTGAGTCACTGTAGGAAAGAAGGACTAGTACACAAAAGCTAATTATGTTATTGAATGTTAGTGAAATTACAGAGACTATATGACAAGTACAGAGGAAAGGTTTAGGCTTGGGGTGGGAGGTTGGAAGGGTAGAAGGAATCTTTCTAGAAATTACCTCTGAGCTGAATCCTAAAAGATTAATTAGAAACTGACTGAGTAAAGAGGAAATAGAGAGGAAAAGCCTGAATATGGAGAGAAGAAATTGTGCAGTACATGTAGGTGTTGCTGGAATGTAAGAAAGTTGGAGCTAGAGAAGCAGACGAAGAGATCAGGAGCTTGAAAAATTTTCTGTAGAGTCTGGGAAGCCATCAGAGAATGGCAAGCAGGGAAAAGCATCATATATGAGCTTAGTGTAGAGAATGGTGGTAGCTATGGGCCATTCTGAATGAGACAATCATATGGTCTACTATACCAGGAATGACAACTTGAAGAGGCATGGCATTACATTCATCATCAAAAAGAACATTTTAAGATCTATCCTGATGCATGCTGTTAGTGATAGGATAATATCCACACACCTACAAGGAAGACCAGTCAGTACTACTATTATTCAAATTTTCCAACCAGCCACTAAGGCCAAAGATGAAGAAATTGAAGATTTTTACCAATGTCTGTAGTCCAAACATTCAATCAAGATACATTGGTAATTACTGCTGATTGGAATGTGAAAGTTAGAAACAAAAAAGAAGCAAGAGTAGTTGGAAAATATGGCCTTGGCAATAGAAATGATGTCAGAGATGGCATGATAGAATTTTGCAAGACCAATGACTTGTTCATTGCAATTTTTTTTTTTTTTAACAACATAAATGGCAACTATACGCCAGGTCCTCACCAGATGAAATAAACAGAAATCAAATAGACTACATCTGTGGAAACAGGTGATGGAGAAGTTCAATGCCATCAGCCTAAACAAGGCTAGGAGCTAACTGTGGAACAGACCATCAATTGCTCATATGCAAGTTCAAGTTGAAGCTGAAGAAAATTAAAATAAGCCCAAGAGAGCAAAATATGACCTTGATTATATCCCACCTGAATTTAGAGACCATCTAAAGAACAGGTTTGACAAGTTGAACACCAACAACTAAAGATCAGAAGAGTTGTGGTATGACATCAAGAACATCATACATGAAGAAAGGAAATAGTCATTAAAAATATGGAAAGGAAGAAAAGACCAAATTGGATGTCAGAAGAGATTCTAAAACAAGCTCTTGAATGGAGAGTAGCTAAAGCGAATGGGGAAAAAAATGATGAAATAAAATATTTCAAAGGGCAGATCAAGAAGACCAAATGAAGTATTTTAATGAAATGTGCAAAGACCTAGAGTTACAAAACCAAAAGGGAAGAGCATACTTGGCATTTCTCAAGCTGAAATAAATGAAGAAAATAATCCAAGCCTTGAATTGCAATGTTAAATGATTCTGTGGGGAAAATATTGAATGATGCAAGAAGCATCAAAAGAAGATGGAAGGACTCATACAATATTTGTCCTTCTGTGACTGACTTATTTCAAATATTGTATGAGTCCATTATTATACAAAGGTAATGAAAGGCTTATACAGGGAAGGAAATTTTCTTTGTTGGTTACCAGGAATGCAAGGGTAGGGAAAGGAATGGAAAATAGGTGGATAACTAAGACACAAGTTTGATATGAGTGAAAGGAAAACAATTTACCAAAAGCATGTGACTAGCACAATATCAGTTAGGAAAAGGAAGACACTGACAGATGCATAGGAGGTACAGACAATAAAGGTGAATACTATTGTATATACAATACTCCATTATCAATTAAAGCAAACAATAATCTACAGGTGGATACATAGGTAGACAGCCAAGAAGAACAGGTATAGATAGGTGAATGGGAAGATACTACCATATATAGATTTGATAGACAATATTCCTACATAAGTATTTGTATGAGGATTGGATCTGATTCATAGCAACCTCTCCTTGGGTTTCTGAAGCAGTATCACTACAGAAGTAGATTGCTCCATCTTCCTTCCAAGGACTAGATAGTGGGTTTGAACCACCAGCCTTCTGGTTAGCAGTCAGATGCCTTAGGCACTACGCCACCAGCGCTCCTATAAAAATGCCCACATGCAGTTTAAACCTAACAGGAAGCAAAGTCAAGATAACTTCTTAGCCACAACTGCACCTTGAAGAAGTGAGTCCACTAGAAGCTGGGGACCAAGGTCACAGGGAACTTCAAGCCCAATTGGCACAACATGGTATACAAAACTATTGTTCTACATCTTACTTCAGTGAGTAGTGACTGGCATTGCATAAGCTTGAGGACAGCTATCTAAGATGCAGCTATTGATTCTTCCTCATCCAGAGCAAAGAAAAGTGAAGAAAATAAAAGACACATGGGAACAGTTAGTCCAAAAGACTAAAGGACCAAGAGAACCTCAGCCTATATGACCCTGAGACCAGAAGAACTAGATGGTGCCTGGCTACCAATGCCAACCACTTGGAAAGGGATCAAAATAGGAGAACCTTGATAGAATGGGAGAAAATGTGAAAATAAACTCAAAATCATATTAAAAAATAAAAAAGACCACCAGCCTTTAATAGAAGAAATAATAAAGGAAACTAAAAATTCCTTGAATCAAAAGAGAATGAAAACACAACATACCAAAATCTTTGAGACACAGCAAAACCAGTGATCAGAGGACAGTTTACAGCAATAAATGCACACATCAAAAAAGAAGAGTGAGCCAAAATCAACAACTTAACCCAACATCTCCAACAATTAAAAAAAGAACAACAAAAAAAGCCTACAGTCACCAGAAGAAAAGAAATAATAAAGATTTGAGCAGAAATAAATGAAACAGAAAATAGAAAGACAATGGAAAAAAATCAACAAGACTAGAAGTTGATTCTTTGAAAAGATTAATAAAATTGACAAACCACTAGCAAGCCTAACAAAGGAGAAGAAGAAGATTCAAATAACAAATGGAATGTCTAGACAGGGGGTAGTGTACCCATGACCATATACAGGGTTAGCAGACAATGTTTCTACGTATGTATTTTTGTGTGGTGTAAGAATGTCTAGGTATATAGTAGAGCTGACAAAGGGCAAGGTTGTGGTGGCTTCTCAGCCACAGCCAGCTACCCAGAGGGAGCAAGTAGTTGGACCTGTGGGCTCAGGACCATAGTCGCAGGGGACAACAAGCTCAATTGGCATAACATACTACACAAAAACGTTGTTCCACATCCTACTTTGGCAAGTAGCAACTGAAATCTTAAAAGCTTGCAAGCAGCCACCTCGATGCAATGATGGGTCTCTCTTCATTCAGAGAAAAGAAGAATGAAGAAAACCAAAGACCCATGGAAATAATTAGTCCAAGGGACAGATAGACAGATAGACCATGAAATCCTCAGCCTATATTATCATGAGACCAGAAGAAGACTAGATGATGTCTGGCTACCACTGTCAACATTCGAAGGGAGATCAGTGCAGGAGATCCTAGATAGAGTGGGAGAACAATGTGGAACAAAACTCAAAATCATAAAAAAACCATATTTACTGGTCTGATAGAGGTTGCTGGTGAGAGATTCCTGAGACTATGGCCCCTAGTCACCCTTCAGTTCTGAAACTGAACTCACTAGCGTGGCTTCCGGCCAAACGATAGATAGGCATATGGTGTGAACATTTACATCAGGTAGATATACTACTTGTAGTGGTCAATGATGGGAGAACAGAAGGGCAATGTTTGTACAGGGAGACAGCTCAGGGAGTGGGACTGCATGGGAAGGAAGGACACAGGGAAGAGGTAACTATGGGAAGGAAGTGGGAAGAGAGCTGTTACATTGTGGGGAATTGCAGTAAATGTCATGAGACAAAATGTGTATGAACTTCTGTATGGAAAATGATTTTTTCCTGTAAATTTTCACCCAAATAACAATAAAATTTTAAAAAAAAAGAAATGTACAACAGAGCCAACCAAAATAAAAAGGATAATATCAGGATACCATGAAGAAAATTTGAAAATGTGTCTAAGGCATTTGACTGCTAACCAGAAGGCTGGTGGTTCAAACCCATCAGCCACTCCTCAGAAGGAAAACTGGACAATCTATTCCCTTAGAAACCCAAGGAGGGATCACTATGAGTTAGGACCAACTCAACTGCAGTGATTGAGAGAAGAAATGGACAGCTTTCTAGAAACACACTACTTACCTAAACAAACACAGACTGAGGCAGAAAATTTGAACAGACCAATAATAAAGAAGAAATTGAACAGGTCATTCAAAAAAAATAGAAAAACTACCTACAAAATAAAGTCCTGGCCCAGAAGTTTTCATTGGAGAATTCTACCAAACATTCAGAGAAGAGCTGACACAAATCCTACTCAAGCTATTCTAGAACATAGAAAAGGATGGAATCCTCCCAAATTCACTTTATGAAGCAAGCATAACCCTGATATCAAAACCAGGCAAAGACACCACTCTAAAGGAAAATTACAGACCAATATCCCTCATGAATATAAACACAAAAATCTCCCACAAAATCCTATCCAATATCAAAAAAATAATAATACATCATGACCAAGTGGAATTCATATCAGGTATGCAAGGATGGTTCAACATTAGAAAAACAATCAACATAATCATCACATAAGTAAAATAAAGGAAAGGAACCACATGAACATACAAATTGATGCAGAAAAAGCATTTGATAAAATCCAACATCAATTCCTGATAAAAACTCTTAGAAAAATAGGAAAGAAGGGAAAGTCTTCAACATAATGAAGAGCATATATGCAAAACCAACAGCCAAAATTGTTCTTAACAGAGAGAGACTGAAAGCATTCCCCTTGCAAACAGGAACCAAAATTGGATGCCCTCTATCTCCATTTCTATTCAACATTATATTGGAAGTCCTAGCCAAGACAATGAGGCAAGAAAGGAAAATCAGGTCTGGAATTGAACTCATGCCTGTGGCTTAACTCCCAGCCAAATAGTAGACAGGCCTACAAGCTGAACTTGTAGGGAGGTGCACTCCTTAGAGCAATCAACCATGGGAGATTAGAGGGCAGCATTTTCACAGGGAGAAAGGTAGGGAGGCAGGAATGCATAGGCAAGAAGGACACAGGAAAATGGTAACCACAGGGAGGAAGTGGGAGGAGAGCTGTTACACTGCAGAGAATATAACCATTGTCACAAAACAAAATATGTATGAAATATTGAATGTAAAATAAAACAGCTTTGTAAAATTTCACCCAATTGATAATAAAACGTTTTAAAAAAATGTGGAAGGAATACACAGTCACAGCAGGAAAAAGAATTGGTCGACATTCAGCCTTTTCAGGAGATAGCATATGGTCAAGAACGAATGGTATTGAAGGAAGAAGTCTAAGCAGCACTGACGGAACTGGTGAAAAACAAGGCTCCAGGAATTAATGGAATACCCACTGAGATGTTTCAACAAACAAACACAGCACTGGAGGCATTTACTCATTTATGCCAAGAAATTTAGAAGACAGTTACCTGGCCAACCGACTAGAAGAAATTCATATTTGTGCCCATTCCAAAGAAAAGTGATCCAACAGAAAGTGGAAATTGTCAAACAATATCATTAATATCACACCCAAGTAAAATTATGCTGAATATAATTCAAAAACAGTTGCAGCAATATGTTGACAGGGAACTGCCAGAAATTCAAGCTGGATTCAGAAGAGGGTATGGAATGAAGAATATCATTGCTGATGTTAGACAGATCTTGGCTAAAAGCAAAGAATACCAGAAAGATGTTCACCTGTGTTTTATTGACTATGCAAAGGCATTCAATTGTGTGGGTCATAACAAATTACATTGTGATTTGCATAACATTGTGAAGAATGAGCATTCCAGAACACTTTATTGTGCTCATGAGGACCTGCACACAGACCAAGAGGTTGCTATTCAAACAAAACAAGGGAATACTGCATTGTTTAAAATCAAGAAGGTTGTGTGCCAAGGTTGTATCCTTTGACTGTACTTATTCAACTTGCATGCTGAGCAAATAATCCAAGAAGCTAGATTATATGAAGAATGCAGCATCAGGAATGGAGGAAGACTCATTATCAACCTGTGATATGCAGATGACACAACTTGCTTGCTGAAAGTGAAGATGACTTGAAGCACTTACTGATGAAAATCAAAGACTGCAGTCTTCAGTATGAATTACACCTCAAGGTAAAGAAAACAAAAATCCTCACAACTGGACTAATAACATCATGATAAATGGAGAAAAGATTGAAGTTGTCAGGGATTTCATTTTACTTGGACCCACGATCAATGATGTTGGAAGCAGCAGTCAAGAAATCAGATGTCATATTGCAGTGTGCATATCTGTTGCAAAAGAACTCTTTAAAGTGATAAGGGGCAAACATGTCACTTTGGAGACTAGGATGCACCTAACTCAAGCCATGGTATTTTCAATTGCCTCATACGTATGTGAAAGTTGGACAATGAATAAGGAAGACTGAAGAGTGAATACCTTTGAATTATGGTATTGGCAAAGAATACTAAAAATACCAGAGACTGACTACCAGAAGAACAAACAAATTTGTCCTGGAGGAAGTGCAGTCAGAATGTTCACTGGAAGCAACAATGGCCAGACTTCATCTTACCTACTTTGGTCATCTTGTCAGAAGGGACCATTCCCTGGAGAAGGGTATCATGCTTGGTAAGGCAGAGTGTCAGTGAAAAAAGGGAAGACGCTCAACAAAATGAATTGACAAAGTGGCTACAACAATGGGCTCAAGCACAGCAAGAACTGTAAAGATGGCACGGACCAGGCAGTGCTTCATTCTGTCATACACAGGGGCAGCTATGAGTTAGAGCCAACTCAGCAGCACCTAACAGCAACAGCAACATGTAGAGTTGGATAGACTCTACATACATAGAGCGTGGATCAGCAAGGAACAGATGGCAGTACAGGGACCTCAGAGAAATCGTTGCAGCATGCCCAGCAAGAGATGATGGGGCCTGAATTAAGGCAGGAGTTGTAGTGATAGAGTGGAAATCTTATATTTAAGAAATACATGGGAAGTAAGGTGGTTCAAATCCATTTAGAGGCACCTCAGAAGACAGACAATAGGCTTCTGAAGGGTCACAGTCTTGAAAACTGTATGGAGTAGTTCTACTCTGCATGCATGGGCTCTCCATGAGTTGGAATCAATATAAGAGCAACTATCAACAACATGGGAGTTGGAGGTGGAATTGGCCAAAAGCAGTGATTGAGTGGAGGCAGAGATGAGGAAGAGAGGGAAATTTTAGATGAATCTCAATATTCTCGCTCATTTATTTCCTTCAACAATCTTTGGAACTAAAAGGATAAACACCACTTTGTCTATTTTATAGTTATTTAATTGAGGCTCAGAAAGGTTAAATTAATTAACCAGGCTCATATAACTAGCAATTGATTGTTGGCTCCCAAGAAACTCAGTCCAGAGCTCTTTGTAATTGTCCACGTGTGCTATCCAAACAGACAACTGCCTCCTCTGCAATAAGGAAGTTCTGGCCTATGAGCCCTCATCATAAGAAGATATTGACCCTGGACATATACAATACCTGTTCATTTTTTAGTATGAAGTTTAATCAGCAGATGGCAACACAATAGTATCAGCAAGTCATAAATTACTAAATGAATGGTCAGAGGTGAGGTGTCAGAGCAAAAGGAAAGACGGGTTTTAAATTTGTAAGTGCCACTGCTTTTCTGTTAGTTATCAGAATGTAGAACAAAGCATGACTACCCTTTCTTTCATTCAGTCTATATGCATTGACTCTGTGTAGAATTCTGTGTTTGAGCTTCTTTCAATATAGTAGCTACTACAGATTGAAATATGTCCCCAAAAATATGTGTTTGAATCCTAACCTCTATACTTGTGCCTGTAATCCTGTTTGGAAATAGAGTTTTCTTTGTTATGTTAATTAGGCCATACCCAAGTAGGGTGCATTCTAAATCTAATCACTTCTGAGTTATAAATAGAGCAAATTAAAGACACACACAGGGAAAGACAGATACCGTGAGAGGATAGTCTACAAGGCCAAGAACCAAAGAATGCCCTGAGCAACTGACAAGGAAAGAACTGACATGGCCAAGACCCTGATTTGGACTTTCAGCCTCCAGAACCATGAGGAAATACATTTGTATTCTTCACAGCCACCCATATGTGGTATTTTATTACAGCAGCACTAGGAAACAAAGATAATAACTGTGTATTCTTCACAGCCACCCATATGTGGTATTTTATTACAGCAGCACTAGGAAACAAAGATAATAACTGTGTATTCTTCACAGCCACCCATATGTGGTATTTTATTACAGCAGCACTAGGAAACAATGAGCTGATACTCATATAATCAATGTATTTTCAACCCAAACCAAAGATCATCCATGGTTATAGGGACAGTCAGTGAGTTCATAGCACTTCAGGTGTTAGTGGTCATGGAGAAGTGGCCGGAAGAAAGGGGAAGCATGTCCAATGTTGAGTGAGATGTGAGGGAAGGGATGAGCAGTCCAGCATGAAGGGAGATAGTACCTGAGTATGTCTGGTACAGGAAAAGTTCCTGTTTGGCACTGATCATCCATGCATCCTTGTGTACTATTGACCTTCAAAAAAAGATGAAGCTGTTTTGGAATGAAAACAGTAACATCCATGGGGTTGCATTTTTAAAATTTGTTGCCTAAAGGCAAGATTGTGAGCCAACGCTAAGTGATCTTTAAGACTTCAGATGCCAGCTCCTGTTGATGATTAGAAAATAATACCAATGGGCAAAATTTGTTTTCTGATCTATAAAATTATTCTGTGGGAATAATAATACCCAATTTATAGGTATTTTATAATGTGATGATGTAATGTGAATTAATACAACAATTAATTAACATTAATTAACAATTTAATTAACATTAAATGGAATTATGACTATGAAAGGCCTAGTACTAAACCTGGCTCATAGGAGACACTCAATAGACATAAGTTTTATTCCTCCCTAAATGAGAGAAAGAAAAAGAATCTCCATACTTTGTGCTGTGTGGCTATAGGTAGTATGCACCTTTAACGTTACAATGAAATTAATACCAACTAGACAATGTACTTTTGATGAAAATACTTGGAAAATTATATATGCCAGAGCATGAGTTAAGGCATACAGAACTCTTAGGAATTACACATATATTTGAAACATTGAAGCTAAACTATACTACAGGTAATTAGATTTATAATTTGGACTTTAGGCTGAATTTTAATCTATATTTATGGTCTTTTGTATCTTGGAAATTTGACTTACTAAAGATTTACTTATAATACTTGCCAAAATCATAACTGACTTTACAAACAACTGTAATAAAATTAAACTTTTTCTCTTAAAAAAAAAAAAAGATCTCTCCAAAGCTCTATGAAATGTGGACCCTTCCCATCTTGAAGCTAGCATTTTCTGAAATGATACAATGCATTTTATGAAACTATATTTCACATGTGACAATTTTAAATTTACAGCATTGTGATTTCTTAAGAGATTATTTCCAAAATTCTGTGCCATTGTCATGTTGATATATATTTGCATTATATCTGTTGATGCATCATGAGAACACAATAATATTCAGCCAAGTGAAAGAAGTGAAGTAGATACATGGGTTTCATTATACTATTCTGTTTGTATACATTTGAAACTTTTTATTAAAAAAAGAGTTAAAGAAAGAAATCAAGATAAGAAAGATAGATAATATAAAGTGAAGACAAATATTCATAGTCCCAGTTACTTACTTTCCTTTATTAAATACTGAAAAGCTAACATTCTGGGAACCTGTAACAAAAAGAAACAGAGTGCAGGCATCTGTGTGAATCACCTAGGCCAGGCCACTGCTACCATAAACCCAAGGACCTCGTATCATCAAGTCACCCTCCATACCTATAATTCCCTAACAGTGTCCCAAATAAGTCCTCTGGTGTGTAGTGGTTAAAGTGTTCAGCCGCTAACCAAAAGGTCGCTGGTTCAAACCCACAAGCCACTTCATGGAAGAAAAGATGAGGCAGTCTGCTTCTGTAAAGATTTACAGCCTTGAAAACTCAGTGGGGGTTGTTGTTGCTGTGAGTTGGAATTGACTCAATGACAGTGAATTTGGTTGGGTTGAGTGGCCCAAATAAATACCTCTTGGCCTTAGAACCTTAAGCATATTAACTTTCAGCAATAAAAGGACAAATATAGTAAAGTAGAGCAGGTAAGCACCCAGGCTTGGAGTTAGACTGAGGTGGATTTAAATCCATCTCTACCAGTTATGGCTTCAACTTCCACAACTGTGAAGTAAAAATAATTGCCCCTACCTCATAGGCTTTTGGTGAGGATTATATTAGTTTATAAATAAGTTGCTTCACGTAGTGTCGTTCAGAGTCTTTAATCAATGTTAATTAATATTATCATCCTCATGAGTACCAATTCCTGATTTTTTTTTCATATGCAGAGAAAAATTAGAAAAGATTTTAGAATAATGTTACTTCTCCAACAGACCAATGTAGTTGCCTTCCACGCGGCACTTCAGTGTCCCAAGGCCATGGTCTTCCTGAATAGAGTAGCTGAGAAAAGAACCAAAAAAATTGAAATCAAAATTACCAGATAACACAATTCAGAAATTTTGACTCTTTAGCCAGGAAAGAAAGGTAAAGTAGAAAAATAAAAATAAAATAGTATAAATCAGCCAGAGAAAACTGATAACAGTATAATGAGTTTATTGGGGAAAATTCTTAGGGTAATATCAACAAAAATTTACATTGATACATATGCTACCAATAAAATACACAATGAGAGACTTATTTCTACTCTCTATCCAGTCCTTTCTTTCCAAAATCTGTTATATAACAAGTATAGCAAAACACTTATCAAAAAAAAAAAAAAAAAAAAAAGAGGGAAGGGGGAACAGGAATAAAAACAACCTATTGTAAAGTGCAAATCCAAAAAAAGGAAAATCCTGAGCAAACAAATCAAAGAAACATATCATAGAATTTGACTTTACTAAACTATAGTACCAAAAAGCTAAGCCATAAAGTATAATTGTTATGATGGCCCCAATGAAAGGTGAATCTACCCAGTCCAGACTAGAGCAAAAATCCAGAAAAATGTTGGTTATCTGAACTGTGAATATATAGATACATTTTTTTTAACAAATTATCAGTCACACGCACACACACCTCCCTCCACCATTGCTAAGAGCATGAACTCTGTAGCTGCTTAGGCTACCAGAGTTCAAATCAGCCACCTACTCTCTGTGAGACCTTGGACAAATCACTTTACTTCTCTGTGCCTCAGTTTCTTCATATGTAAAATAGGACTAGAAACCTTATGTATTCACAAGGTTATTAAGTGATTTAAATTTAAAGCCTTAGATTAAGGCTTGGCCTATCAAACCAAAAGCCCACTGCCACTGAGTCAATTCCAGCTCATAGCAACCTTATAGTAAACATAGTTTGGTCTAGAGTTAGCACTTAATAAGTATCAGCCATAGGGCCTTCATGAGTCAGAGTTGACTTGATGACAGTGGGTTTGGTTTCTTGACTTGGTATTTGTTTTCAATATCTACTTCAATTTGCATTCTTAGATTCCATTTCAATTTGTATTTTGAATTAGTCCTGACTCTATTCCAGTAAGTTTAAAGGTAAGACAGTCAACAGTAATGAGTGAGTTATATTTAAAAAAAAAAATAAAGAAGGCATGTATGTGTGTGCTATACCTGTGTGGCAAAACCTTTAAGTATATTTGTTGGGAAGAAAAGAAAGCACTCACCGACTTGCTGTCTGCCTGTTTACAAGAGAGCAAGGAGTGAACCACTGGTCTCCTTGAGCTTCCAAGATCAGTGGGCTGGATAAAAAGTGGACAGAAGAGACACAAGACAATAGTGCAATGCTTCCAGCAAGCATTCTTGACAGCACTCAAGAAAGCATTGTTATGAACATTCTCCTCTGGATTTTTGGAGCATTACTTCAGGTTACCAAAGGCTGTCCCCTAGGGGATCTTGAGTCAGGTGCTTAACCTGAGAGTAGGGATGTTCAACACCATAGTCCACACTTGGACACTGTAGAGGAAGAGTTTCCCCTTTCCCAAAAAATCTTTATCAACCTCACACTGGCTACGCTGAATCTACACAGCATGACTGTGTTCATGGCTTTATTTCCCTTTCAAAGGCTGCATCCCAGACCGATGTTGAGATAGGACCCAATATTGAACATGGCATATTGTCGTGAATGAACTTTGGGCCTCTGTCCCACACAGGAAGAATAATTTCCTTTCTTTCCTCATCCACCCCCTTGGCTATAATCACTTTTTTAAGAAAAACTTTTTATTGTGATTTCAGTCAAAGAGTACAGAACAAATTGGTTTTCCCCTCAACAATTCATACACATTTTGGTTTATGACACTCATTGCAATACCCACAATGTAACAACATTCTTGCCACTTCCTTCTTATGTTTTCTGTTTCTGTTCATCCTTCTTGGCTGTCCCTTCCTACCTTCTGAGCTTTATTCCTAGGCAAATGCTGCCCTTTTGATCCCCTATTGTTGCTTACTCTAAGACATGCATATCTCCCTGGTATTACTGTTCACCTTATAGCCCTGTCTATTGTTTAGCTGAAAGTTGAACCACAGGGGTGAGTTCAATTCCAGGCTTGAAGGTGTCTAAGGGCCATAGTCTTGGGGGTTCCACCAGTCTCTATCACACCAATAAGCTTTGTCTTTTTTTATGATTTTGAATTTTGTTCCACATTTTTCTCCCACTCTATCTAGGATCTCCTATTATGAGCCCTTTGAGAGTGGCCAGCAATTAGAGCAAGACACCAGCTAGTTCTTCTGGTCTCAGGGTCATGGAGATTGGGGTTGGCATGGTTCATTAGTTCTTTGGACCAATTGTTTCCATACATCTTTGATTTTCTTCACTGTTCTTTGCTACAGATGGGGAGAGACCAATAATTACTTCTTAGACTGCCACTAATTTCCTTTCAAGACAAGCTGACCATTGTTTGCCAGAAATGTAGATCTTGAAAGTAGTCAAATCATGTTCTCTTCAACTAGGGGAAAATCAAAAATGTGGAGCAGAACAGAGGAAAAAGATACCCCTACACCTTCGAGAGTGAAGGGAAAATTAGAGCCAGTGAGTGTATAGAATCTATTCAACTAGTTATATAGCAGGATTGTGTTCCTTTTATCTTGTAAATTCTCACTAGAATTGCTCATATATTGATTAATCACAACTACTTAGAACTTTCCAGAAAGGCCACAACTTCCACACTGCCACCCTATTTCTCCTCTTTCCCTAGCACCACTAGGGTGATTAGTTACCAAACCAAACTCACTGCCATCGAGTCAATTCTGACTCACATGGTGATTTAATAGCACTACTTTCCACTTAAGTCTCCAGCGAGAACAGTGATGTTGATATCCAAATCATTTCCAGAAATCATTAAAATCTCAATGTACCTGCTCAGTACCTGCTTCCACATTTTCCTCTGGTCACACTAATAGGGTTATAAATGCACAAATTAAAAACAACCAAACAAGGAAGTAATAATGGACTTTTAGTATTAGGCATAATTTTAGAAAGAATTTTATTGCAGCCTTGGAAACAAAGGAGGAGGATTAAGAATTGAAAACAAAAATCCAGAGATGCAATTACAGTACAATTCACACTGAGCCCAGAGTGACTAGCTACCAGTAAATAAATGAACCATCTTAAGCAACCATTCACAATTGCATTTACAAAGTGGCTGAAGCCCAGCTCGCCAGTGACCACAAACTGCAAAGAGGAAAATAGCAATCCTGTGCCAACTGCTTACACTTTATTGTTTTTAGGGAAGCTGGTCTTAGGAAGCAATCAGTGCATTTATGACTATTTGCAGACAGAAACAAATGCACACACTTACCTATCAATGTACTCGGCATCAAAATCAAAGGTTTCCAATCTTCCAGTGATAATCCAGCCATACACATGTAGTAGTTTTCCTGTTTTAGGATAATATTTAAAATTGTAATGTACTTAGCTCAAACTTTAAATGTAAAATATAAATTGTGTTTCCTATTGGTTACCTCTACCTAATATGGGCAAATAGCTCATGTCCCAGAAAATTAGCACTTTTTTTTTATAAACTATACAATGAGTAAAGTCAATGGTATGACCTAGTGATCAATACTGCCCATCAGAAAGGCTAAAATAACCAATTATTTCCATCATAGAGGTAGTTAGATAGTTGTCATTGAGTCAACTCTTACTCATAGTGACCTTATATGCATCAGAATGAAATATTGTCTGGTCCTGCATTATCTTCATGATTGCTAGCATATTTCCATCATGTTGTTGTTATGTGCTATTGAGTCAGACCCGAGTCATAGCGACCCCTCCTTGGGTTTTCAAGGCAGTATCACTACGGAAGTAGATTGCCCCATCTTCCTTCCAAGGAGTAGCTGGTGGGTTTGAACCGCCAGCCTTCTGGTTAACAGTCAAGTGCCTTAGCCACTATGCTACCAGAGCTCCCTATTTCCATCATAAACTTATCTATATATGGAGCACAAAAGAAATGATGGGTCTTCCTCACAGTCCCATGATGTGTGAGGCTTAAAGGAGGGAGGGCCAATTTCTACACACTAACTATCTTGGCTATTTGTAGACCATCCACCCTATACAGGATTAAGAACAATATGCCTTGGGGTGCTCTCCCCTTCATGAGACATTTGTCTAGACACTTGCTCATGAGATATGAGGAAGATCATATCACATGACCTGATTGGGTTTTCAGAGATTCTATACTTTTTTTCCATTTCTCAAAATAGTGTCATGGAAGACTCAAATGGACAGGACTTAAGTAAGAAGGGCATAAAACAGGAGCAAAATTGTATGTTAAAGAATAGGCAATTGACACATGTATGTATTTAAAATATTTTACTGAGCATCCAATCTGGGCTGGGCTCATGTTCAAAGAAAAGGCCAACTGGCACTCCCCAAACAGTTGATGTCTGCCTTACTCACTGATAAATGGATAACTTCTACTGCTGAATATCGTTTCCATAGGAAGCTGGGTAGCAAGTTTCTCTTTAATACTCCTCTCTTTTTAGTTCAAAAGAATGAGGATATAGTCGTCATTAATCCTCTTTCAGCAAGGTGTACTCTCAGGGTAACATTCCACCGCGTTGTTCATAGCAATTGGAGGCCTCTACCAAATGCTGCATGACCTTATTTATTTCACTTGTGGAAAACACCTAAACTCAGTCTGTAGAATTGCATGAGGCAAATGTTTTAAGCACACACACCATAGCAAGACAATATGGTTAAAGTTCACCATACAACCCCACAACCTTTGAATGCCTTCCAAATAAATAGAGGATTTGAATGTCTATGGTATAATCTTCTACCACCACAAACAAGAGAGGTGTTGGTTTAGTGAGGTAAAACCTCAAAAATGGAAGCAACAGGGGCATGTATGGGATTCATGAGGTCTTAACTGAGGGGACTTTGAGTCCTTTTTAAGGATACTTAGGCCACCAAAAAACATTAGCAACAAGTTTATTCCCTTCACACTGGGCTTCTGTAATAACAAGTGACTTTCATCTATTGTCCTTGAATGCTTTTGGAGTGCATTAAAATAATGGGAACTTTCCAAATATTATTATAGCCATTTTACAGGTAGATGGATGGCATAGTGCTTAAGGCATTTGACTACTAACCAGAAGGCTGGCAGTTCAAACCCACCAGCCACTCCTTGGAAGGAAAGTTGGGCAATCTACTTCCATAGTTATACTGCCTCGGAAATCCAAGGAGGGGTCGCTTTGAGTCGGGACCAACTTGACAGCAGTGAGTTTGGCTTTTGGGGGTTTTGGGGGGTAGAAAGAGAGGGAACCTAATGACTTCGACAAAGGTCATGTTGTTGTTCTTGTTATGTGCCATTGAGTCAGACCAACTCATAGCGACCCCTCCTTGGGTTTCTGAGGCAGTATCACTACGGAAGTAGATTACCCCATCTTCCTTCCTCATAGTGGCTGGTGGGTTTGAACCGCCAGCCTTCTGATTAGCAATCAAAAGCCTTAGGTACTACACTACCAGAGCTCCTGACAAAGGTTGTAGAGTTGGTGAAAGCCTGGAGTCTGAAGTTCTCTGCTACTGTTAACAATGGGCAGAATAATTCCCCTTGTTTTAGTAGAGATAAATTATCAATTTCGCAGCTCAGGTGGGAGTGATTTCTTGCTGTGATGGATACAATTTAATGAATAACAGGTTATAGAAATAAGAGTTTCTAAAAAAGACACCCCAACAGAAGCTGAATAATTCCTAAGCCAGATCATAGTGCCGGGGGATTCTGCGTCACAGTGGAAGACTGTTAAGCACATATAGAAATTCAAGTACTCATAAAATGTTCTCTCCTATCCTTATCACCTCCCCCCATCTCACTCGCTGCTAACTCTGGGCAGACTTCCCAAATGAAATGAGAGTAATGGTCTGGAAAATGATTGCAAAGATGCAGCTGTGTGGATTCTGCCCAGAGGGACCACTCCAAAGGAGCCAAACACCAATCGTTCACCACAAAGGTGGAGGAGACAGTGTGTGGAGCTCAGATTCAGTGGAAGAAATGGGCTTGACAGATCTGGGTGCAGGCTGATGTCCCATTTCACACCTCTACAGTCTGGCTCTATCCTCATCCCTCACCCTAACAAGACTTCTGCCATCTACACAGAAGCCGTCTAACAACAGACAACAGGGACCCAAAGGTCTGCATGTGATTTCCACAGACCACATCTCCTTTTAATAAACATTATGATGTCTTCATTAGTGAGGCAAACAGAGAGGAACAGATCTGCAAATAGCCCACACAAATAAGCTAATACTAAATTCATATTCTTCAGAATACAATTTAAACCCACATACAAAATCTGTGTCTATATATGCACACAAAAAATTGTACCAACACGTTTCAATACTTATTCACTTTGACATTCTCAACCAATCAAGCTATTCAGAACAACTAGATCAATTTTTACATTTAGATACAATCGCATATAAAACTTAGCAAGTTGTTTTCCCAAAACTTAGGCCATTCTGAAAACCCCTCTGAGCAAATAAAAATACTGAAATAGAAGTAGGAGATTACAAAGAATCAGACTGCAAATTATATATTCCTAGCTGTGTTTACTACTTAGTTTTAAGGCAGAATTTGTAGTTGTTGTTGTTAGGTGCTGTCAAGTCATCTCCGACTCATAGTGACCCCATATACTGCAGAACAAAACACTGCCTAGTCCTGTGCCAACTCCACAATCCAGGCTGTACCTGAACCCATCTTTGTAGTCACTGTGTTAGTCTATCTCGTTGAGAGCCTTCCCCTCTTTCGTTGACATTCCGCTTTACCGAGCATGATATCTTTCTCCAGGGAATGGTCTCTTCTTACAACATGACCAAAGTAGGTGAGACGAAGTCTGGCCATTCTCCTAGGAACATTCCAGCTGCACTTCCTCCAAGACAGATTTCTTAGTTCTTTCAACAGTCCATGGTACTTTCAGCATTCTTCTCCAGCACCACAACTCAAAAGCATCAACTCTTCTTCCGTCTTCCATTTTCATTGTCCAGCTCTCACATGCATATGAGGTGAATGAAAATACCATGCCTTGTGTCAGGCACACCTTAGTCCTCAAAAAGACATCTTTCCTCTTCAGCACTTGAAAGAGGTCTTTTGCAGCCTATTTGCCCAGTGCTATACATGGTCTCAGATCTTGACTGCTGCTTCTATTGGCATTGATTGTAGAACCAACCAACATAAACTCTTGGACAATTTCAATCTTTTCTCCTTTTGTCATGATGCTGCTTATTGGTCCAGTTGTAAAGATCTTTGTTTTCTATACATTAAAGTATAATCCATAATGCAGACTATATTCTTCAGTCTTCATCAGTAAGTGTTTCAAGTCGTCCTGACTTCAGCAAGCAAAGTTGTGTCATCAGTGTATCTCAGGTTAATGATTCTTCCTCCAATCCTGATACCATGTTCTTCTTCATATAGTCCAGCTTCTCGGATTATTTGCTCAGCGTAGAAATTGAACAAGTGTGGTGAAAGGATACAATCCTGATGCACTCCCTTCTTGATTTTAAACCATGCAGCATCCCCTTGTTCTGTTCAAATGACAGCCTTCTGGTCTGTGTACAGGTTCCTCATGAATACAATTAAGTGTTCTGGGATTCCCATTCTTCTCAATGTTATCCATAATCTGTTATGAACCACACAATCAAAAGCTCTTTCATACTCAATGTGGTAGTTAAGGTTGTGTGTCAACTTGGATGGACCTGGTTGAGTGACTGGGCTGCTGGATGTAGTATTCCCCATGATGAGATGATAATCAACTCCATGGAGGAATCTACTGTGAGCAGTGAGAAGCTGCTTTAGGGGTGTTGTCTGCTTCCTGTATATAAGGAGAAGCATTGGGGAACTGTCTCTAGCTTATGGCATGCTTGAATTCTGCATGTAGCCATGTCATTGTTCAGAAGCCTGCCATGCTCTGCCAACCTTGGGACTTTCAATGAACTTGAATTAATGGCCTGCTGTGTGGTTTGGTAACATCAGGACTATGCGTTTTCACTTGTCAACCTTGGGCTTGTCAGCCTCAGCATCCAGCAGCTGAATGAACAAAAGCCTCCAGCTTCAGTGGGCTGGGAGCAGGAGGCGGAGCTGAAGCCCAAGGTTGAGGGGCTTTCACCTAGCCCCTAGAGCCTGACACTTTGAACTCGGACTTAAAGCCTCCAAAATTGTAAAAAAATAAATTCCTGTTTGTTAAAGCCATCCCATTCATGGTATATTCTTGTCAGAGTGGTACTAGGTAACCCAAACAATCAATAAAACACAAGTAAACATCTTTCTGGTATTCTTTGCTTTGAGCTATAATCCATCTGACATCAACAATGATATCCCTCATTCCATATCCTCTTCTGAATCCAGCTTGTCTTTCTGGAAGTTCTCTGTCAGTATACTGCTGCAACCATTTTTTAATGATCTTCAGTTAGATTTTACTTGTGTATGATATTGATATTGTTTGATAATTTCCACACTCTGTGGAATCACCTTTCTTTGGAATGGATACAAATATGGATCTCTTACAGTCAGTTGGCCAGGTAGCTGTCTTCCAAATCTTCTAGCATAGCTGAGTTACTGCGTCCAGTGTAGCATCCATTTGTTGAAACATCTCAATGGGTATTCTATCAATTCCTGGAGCCTTGTTTTTTGCCAATTTTTTCAGTGCTGCTTTGACTTCTTCCTTCTGTACCATTGGTCCTTGATCATATGCCACCTCCTGAAATGGATGATCACCTACCAGTTCTTTTTGGTACAGTGACTCTGTGTCTTCCTTCCATCTTCTTTTGATGTTTCCTGCATCATTCTACATATTGCCCATGGAATCTTTCGATATTGCAGTATGAGGCTTAAATTTTTTTTCCTCAGTTCTTTCAGCTTGAGAAATGCTGAGTGTGTTGTTCCCTTTTAGTTTTCTAACCCCTGGTCTTTATACATTTCATTATAATAACTGGCTTTGTCTTCTCAAGCTGCTCTTTGAAGTCTTCTGTTCAGCTCTTTTATCTTGTCATTTCTTCCATTTGCTTTAGCTACTCTCCATTCAAGGACAAGTTTCAGAGTCTCTTCTGACATCCATTTTGGTCTTTTCTTCCTTTCCTGTCTTTTTATTGACCTTTTGCTTTCTTCATGGATGATGTTCTTAATGTCATCCCACAATTCATCTGGTTTTCTGTCACTGATGTTCAATGCATCAAATCTATTGTTTAGATGGTCTCTAAATTCAGGAGGGAAATAATCAAGATCATATTTTGTTTCTCGTGTACTTCTTTTAATGTCTTCAACTTCAACTTGAACTTGCATATAAGCAATTGATGGTCTGTTTCACAGTCAGCTCCTGGCCTTGTTTTGGCAGTAGATATTGAGTTTCTCCATTGTCTCTTTCCACAGATGTGTTATTGTTGTTGTTGTTGTATGCTGTTGAGTCAGACCCAACTCATAGTGACCCCTCCTTGGGTTTCTGAGGCGGTATCACTATGGAAGTAGATTGCCCAAACTTCCTTCCAAGGAGTGGCTGGTGGGTTTGAACCACCAACTTTCTGGTTAGCAGTCAAGTGCCTTAGGCACTATGCTATCAGAGCTCCCTCCACAAATGTAGTCAATCTGATTCCTGTGTTCTCCATCTGGTGAAGTCCACTTGTATAGCTGTGGTTTATGTTGTTGAAAAAATGTATTTGCAATGAATAAGTCATTGATCTTGCAAAATTCTATCATGCAATCTCCAGTGTTATTTCTATTATCAAGGCTAAATTTTCCAACTACTGGTGATTCTTCTTTGTTTCCACCTTTTGCATTCCAATCACCAGTGATAATCAACACATCTTGATTGCATGTTCAGTCAATTTCAGACTGCAGAAGTTGGTAAAAATCTTCAATTTCCTCATCCTTGGCTTTGGTGGTTGGTGTGTAAATTTGAATAATAGTAGTATTAACTGACTTTCCTTGTAGGTGTATGGATATTATCCTATCACTGACAGCATTGCACTTCAGGATAGATCTTGAAACAGTCATTGTGATGATGAATGCCACTCCACTTCTCTTCAATATGTCATTCCCAGCATAGTAGATCATATGGTTGTCTGATTCAAAATGGCCAAAACTTGTCCATTTCATCTCACTAATGCCTAGGATATCAATTTTTATGCAGAAGTAACAGTTCCCAAATCTATTTCTTAGTTGCAGTCCCTTCTTTTATGTAAATTTCCCAGATTTTCCTCTCTCCTTTTCCTCTGTCTATGTAGCCTCTACATATCTGTATGTTTTCTGGCTGAGAAATAAACTCCCTAGATGAGAATCAGAGCCAATGTCCTTTCAAGTAGTATCCAACACTCACTACTCAATAGGACAAAATGGTGGGCATGTGGGCCCACCCTGTTTCTGACTGTCTAGGTTCAAACCTCAGTTATACTAATTATGAGCTCTTTAACTTTAGACAAGTTACTTAACCTCCTGGCATCCTCTTTCCTGATCTTCAAAATGGAGATGATAATAAGAGTTCCTCCATCATTAGAATTTTCTGGGGATATAATAAAACAATAGAACAGAGCCTAGCATGTAGAAAGAGTTCAATAAAGATGTGTTATTACATGGATAATTAGTAAATTAAGAGCAATGATAATGTCTGTTTCCTCCATTCTCCAACACCTGCTTTGATTTTGCTGGGCTTTTTCTTTTCATGTTTGGATTTCTTTTGCTATCAATGAAGTAAAAGAGTAAAAGTGCCTAGTGATGAAACCAAACCAGTTAAAAATGAACCAGAGGTTGACACTTATTTTCAAAACAACAACAGGGAAGAAGCTAAATTTGTCCATTTATAGAGACCATCCACTTGGGCTGAAGAGGCAAAGGAATTCATAATTATTTCTGTTTTAATAGAAGCTCTCTTACCTGGAACTCCACTTGGTGGGTTAACTTGGTAAATAACGGGTGTCTGTGCCTTGGAAAACTGTTTAGAAAACATCATCACAAGTAAGTATTTCATTAGAAGCTCACAACCACAAACACAAGAAGAGAACCTCACTCCTTACAAAGCGTTAATATAGCATGATATGTGGCTATATTTCTTCAAATCAACTTTGCATTTATTTTTTTATCCTCATAATATTTCTGTGAAGCTGAGGTGACAGATATTATATTTCTTCTACAGATGAGGCGAAGGGAATTTGATCAAGGTCCTACAACTCTTTATCTTGAACCATATTGCCCTAAACTTTAGCAAGCTTGTTTCTACCTGCCCATCAGCCAGGACCACATTTTACCAGGAAGAAATGTAGCAGACTATGTTTAGAATATCAACTTTTTAATTCTACCTTGTAATTGATTCCTTTGAGCATTGAAATTTTGTGCTTTTTATTTTTCTAGACAAGAATTCACTTATTTAATTGGAAAGATTGTAACAAATTATCATCAAATGACATCTTAGTAGATATTTCCAAGTTATGAAAAAATGGGAAACTGGATAGGCACTAAAGTGAAGAGCTTATTGGGGAAATGAAATGTTCCCATTGGGAGGGTAATGATTCAAATAATTCAAGGAACAGGAAGCAGTATTATAGTTCAAGAAGGAGGAAAATGGCATTGATGGGAGAGGTGGGAACCTACAAAACCTGGTCATGGCACTCCAAATCATCTTGCATTGTCCCCTTTTCCCCATGCATATCATCTACTAAACATAGATTCATGAAGGAAGGGACAATGCCTGACTCAGTGGGTGTCATATCCCTGTGCATAGCCTGGTAGGTAGAAGACGTTTTAGTTCTTGTGAATGAATGGGGTTGCCCCATCTGGGACGACTGATATACTACCTAGAAGCAGAGGGGAGAAAGGGACAATCTCAGGATTTCCATCTCCCTATATGCATTGGTTTTAGTCTAAGATTAGCACAGAGAGAAATCAGTAGAATTCTCGCCTTCTGTGCCAGAGACCCAGTTCAATTCCCAGCCAATGCACCTCATGCACAGCCACCACCCATCTGTCGGTGGAGGCTTGTGTGTTGCTGTGGTGCTGAACAGGTTTCAGCAGAGCTTCCAGACTAAGATGGACTGGGAAGAGAGGCCTGGTGAACTGCTTCCAAAAGTCAGTCAGTGAAAACTTTATGGATCACAGCAGTCTGATATGCAATGGATCATGGGGATGGTGCAGTACTGGGCAGTATTTAGTTCCACTGTGCATGGGATCACCATGAATTGAGAGCCAACTCCTTGGCAGCTAACAACAACAACAAGATTAGCACATTACAGTTAAGATAAGGGGCTCTGGTGGTGCAGTGGTTAAGGCATGTTGCTATTAGCCAGAAGGTCAATGGTTCAAACTAACCAGCTGCTCTGTTGGAGAAAGATGAGGCAGTCTGTTTCTGTAAAGATTTATAACATTGGAAACCCTATAGGACAGTTCTACTCTATCCTATAAGGTAGCTATGAGTCACAACTGATTTAATGGCAGTAGATTTGGTTTTTTTGTCAGGAAATTTTGCTGGGGGCCTGTGTAAAATAAGTGAGAAGCATGAGGATGGACTAACAAGGTCAAGGTTTCACCCATGAGCCAATGACTCACTGAAGATCAGACCTAATCTTCTGCTTTCATCACTTGACTCCCAACCCTCTCTAGATGCCTAGACTTCCTCCATGCCCCATAACCTAAAGTGCTTCCCATCTGTGAAACAAATTATGGCAAATCGTTTTGTTTGGTCTGCTTCCACCACCCCAGGAATCCACCTTCCCAGGGAGGATATTACCAAAGAATAACTCCATTGTTAAACAACAGCTCTAATCAGACATCTGAAATCAAGACTTTTTGATAAAGCTGATAGTGGCTTGGCAAGTTTGGGCTTAAGTATTGACCCAAACAGGTGTACAGTCTGCTGTCTGGGTTAGCCCTCCTCCTTCTAAAGGAAAAGGTTAGAAAATAGTTCACAGAAAATATGTGCACTCAGGGGGTCAAAATAAGCATGCTGCAACCTCACTGATTTAGAGCTGGCTCTGATCTCACCAGAAGATAAAGATTAATGCAATTCCACACATGCCTGCCAAACACACAATCCCCACACCTCCTCCCACACCCTGGCCTTTGTCTCCCACTGAGAAGATCTTCATACTAATGTTCAATTGGAACTTTATCATAGGTACCATGATGCAGGATAGTAGTTATTGCCCCATCTCACAGCTATTAGAAACAGAGGCAAATGGAAGAACTGAATTCAAACCAAATAAGAAAACATACTTCCCAATTTCCAACTTGAAATATAAGACCTACCACTCAGGAAATGTAGAACACTTCTCCAGAAGTTTAGGGGGAGGGGGTGGGTGTAGTGACACATTTAGTACTCTCTCTCAATCCCTCTGCTAGTAGTGGAGCACACTCAGGGTGAAATCTCAAAAAGGGCTTCACTTGTAATTCTCTCTGAGCTGACACAACATAAAATGTTCATTTCTGAGAGAAACAGGCCCCTGGTTACCCACCATGCCAGAGACATGGCAAAGTGAAAAATTAATGAGCTTCCAAATCAAACTTCCCACATGCTGATCCTTGAGCTGAAGTGAGGTCAGCAGCGTCAAGATGGGGGAAAGAAGAAGAGACAGATTACAATGAGAGAGCCACAGCCACCAGCTGCTTGATAAACCTTCTGTGAGTTATTCAAACTTGTCAGTGCCTGCAGCAGGCTCTTTGGAGGTGAAGTTAATTTTTAATACTCATGGCTCCCCTAGTCCGGTCCCAAAACAAAGAAACATGCTGTGTTTTATTTAGCTTGGAATGCCTCTCATTAACTACATCCCCTGGTGATTTTTCATCAACTCACCAAGCGAGCTGAACCATGGAAGGACTTGTTTGCTTTAATGTGCAATTTTAGGAAGTGGTTCTCTCCTTTCCCCTCTCTCTCCTTACCAATATTTTAATAAGTAGGAAAACTAATGTCTGAGGTGAAAGGAACATCAAAACCAAACTCAGCATAGTGGTTAAGGAGTATGCTTAGCTCTCTCCCTTCTGTCATATTCCCTGAGACAGTATAGACATGATGGTGAGGTCTTAAGAAGAAAAGATGACATTTTTTTTTCCTTCTTCTGCTTATGTGCAGAAGCAAAATTCAGGAAGACAAGATTCTCTTGGATTGAGAAACAAGTTGTTTAATATGAACTGACAGAAAATTCTAAATTTCAAAAATGAATTGCCAATATAAAATGTTAAAGCTATTGTTGTTGTTGTTGTGTGCTGTCGAGTCAAACCCGACTCATAGCGACCCCTCCTTGGGTTTCCGAGGCAGTATCACTACGGAAGTAGGATTGCCCAACCTTCCTTCCGAGGAGTGGCTGGTGGGTTTGAACCGCCAGCCCTCTGGTTAGCAGGCAAGTGTCTTAGCCACTATGCTACCAGAGCTCCCGTGAAAGTTATTAGAAATTTATTAGAAATGAATTTAGAGGGTGAAATCTTGTTTTAAAAGAGCACTAATTAATGTCAAGAAATCAGACGTTGTATTACACTTGCCAAATCTGCTGCAAAAGACCTCTTTAAAGAGTTGGAGAGCAAAAATGTCACTTTGAAGATTAAGGTGCCATGGTATTTCAGTCACTTCATATGCATGTGAAAGCTGGACAATGAATAAGGAAGATCAACAAAGAATCGATGGCTTTGAATCGTGCTATTGGCAAAGCATACTGAAAATACCATGGACTGCCAGAAGAACGAATCTATCCTGGAGGAAGTGCAGCCAGAATGCTCCTTAGAAGTAAGAATGGCCAGACTTTGTCTTACCTACTTTGGTCATGTTGTCAGAAGGGACCATTCCCTGGGGAAGGATATTTGCTTGTTAAAGTGGAGGGTCAGAGAAAAAGGGGAAGACCTTCAACGAGATGAATTGACCCAGTGGCTGCAACAATGGGCTCAAGCATAGAAGTGGTGGTCCAGGACAAAGCACTGCTTTGTTCTGTTGCACATAGGGTCGCTATGAGTTGAAGCCAATCAATGGCACCTAATAACAACAATAGTTAATGAACAAATTGTATTCTTTACAACAGCTCTTAAATGAAGATTCCCTATATAAGGTTGTTGTTATTGTTAGCTGCGGTCAAGTCAGGCCTGCAACTCATGGCAACCCATCACAACAGGATCAGAACTTTGGGATCCATAAAGTTTTCCTTGGATGATTTTTTTAAGTAAATTTCCAGGCCTGTTTTCCTAGTCTGTCTATATAAGGTACAACCATGTCCACAGAGAAACTGTCAATTCTCTTTTATGTAAAGTCTAGGACCTACTTCTTCAGAGATTGTTTTAGAGTAAAATCAATCTGTAATGGATAGTGGGCTGAACCAAACATAAAATAAGCCCCAGTATATGTACCCAGGCTCTAAAATATGTCAAGTGTTGGACTCATAAACTAACTCTATCTCTTTCTCTCTTCTTATTTGCTCTGAGTTTGAAGGACAGTTCCACCAGCAAATGCCTCTTCAGTCTAGTGTTGAAAAGAGCAGCAGAAATATACCATGAAGCAACAAGGGTAGGTGGAAATTGGATCCCTTCACCAAAGAAGTTGTGTCCCTGAGTCCCTTCTTCATCCTGATACTCTGGATATTCTCAGTTGTAAAACAAAACACTGATCTATAGTGGTAATCTCTATGGCTCCTCTATGGGCTTCAGTTTAGGTGAGGATTTAAAGCCAGGTGCAGGTTTAAATCCTGTTTCTGTCAATTACTACTTGAACAACATGGGCAAATTATTTAACTAAAACAGTCTGCCTCTACCATCCACTTTTCTTCTTACCCTGTCAAAGCAGTCTCCCGGGCTGATTTACAGCGTTTGCTCTTGTCAGTAGCACAAGCACATTCCTCCATTGTGATGCCATGAATTAATTGGTATGTCTCTTCTGGCTGTGTCTTTGTTACAATCCCAACAAATGACTGGGTGGAACTATGCAAACGTAAAGTGCTTATGACCCACCAAGGGGACTAGATAGCTTGCTAATAATGTTAATAAGGTTCATGGCCCCTTTGTGGGGGTGGGTTTGTGCAAATAAGGTGTATGGAACCCTAATGTGAGGATTGGTCGGATTTGCCATCTGGCTAGGCTTAAAATGAGCCATCCTAGAGGAAGAAAAGGGGGAATTTTACCACAATAAAGAAAAAAAATCTGGGAATGGAGTGAGTCCTTGGGTTCAAGATCCCTGCACTGAGACAGCAAGTAAACGACAGCAGAGAGAGAGTGGCAGTAGGAGGTAACAGACCCAAGAGATGGGCACAAGACAGAGCAGCAGGCCTCCAGCCCACAGAGTGAAAAAGCTGAGTGCCTTTAGTCAGGAGCCTTGCTGGCAAAGTGGGGTGCCTCTCTGGGCATCTATCTGGCAAAGCTAAAAGAGCTTTGCACCACTGGCCCAAACAGGGCAGAGACTGAGGCCAGAGAGAAGCATGTCTGCGGCACAGCTGAGATGACACTGTCCTGATTAAAGAACTGTATCCTGGCTCGTTCCTGACTGTGAATCGTAAACTATTACTTCCCTAATAAACCCCATAACCATGAGTATTGTCTGTGAGTTCTGTGTGGCCATTGCAATGACTTATTAAACCCAGCAGAATAGAGTGCCATGAAAGGGACAGTTGGTGTCAGAATTTAGAGGGTTTAGAGGGTGGCAGAATGTCTGGCCTCTCTTTCATAGGGATCATCCTTGGGTTGAGGCTGCTGCTGCTTCTGTCGTCCCCTCCTGAAGTTAGAGGAGGCCAGAGGATGCCATCTCCTTGCCCTTTTGGTATCCATCCTTGGAACTCACCTTGAAAGTGCAGCCGTCGCATGGTCCTGGGCTCAGGCTGTTTACCACCTGGTCCCCAGAGTGCACATCCAGGTAGTACAATCCCTCATGTGCTTCTAACAACAGAGATCTGAGAGCAGAAAGTAGAAATCCTTGTGAATCGAAATGCATGAATTCTCCAAGCTAATAGCCCCACTTGACCACTTCAAATTTCCTCTGTGGGGTTACAAAACCGAGCCAACCAAGACACCTATATTTTACTTTTCACCTCCTAAGTCTACTCATTACCAGACTTTAAGATTGAATCCTTTAGCAGAACAGATGTTTAGAAATTTTGAAAATTAGTTCAAAATCAGAAGGATAAATAGTGCAAAGAGTATACAGTCATGCAAAACGTGCAAATAAGTACACTGTATATTAGTTACAAAAAGTTACTCCTTCCTCAAAGCTGGTACAACTACAGACTGAATTTCAGCCCCTCTTTCCTCCCTTTCAAAGAAGGGGAAAATTATACTCAGTTGGAAATTCAGGGAAGAAGTGGTCTTTGCAGTATGATTGGTTAGGATTCTAATAGGCAGAAATGGAATGGGGAGAGCCTTCTAGCAGAGGAAACAGAAAACAAAAAGAAATGGCCATTTTTTCCAATTAATCAATGATCCATTTCATGCTGCATCTCTAAGACATGAGTAAAGAAAGAATGAACTAATGGGAATGTAATAGCCCAACAGAAAGTTGAATAGGACAATAGATTACCTGGAATCCCATACAACATTTCCTAGAGAGGTAATAACAAATGTAGCAAACACACTGAAGATTAAAGCAAATCTCCTTTCTGACTGTTTTTGAGTTTATTCCCAACCATTACAATTATGCCTATTCCAAAGGATGAGTTCTTTAGATGACAAAGTGGCACATTTATTGAAATCTTAGGATTCCTTACAAAAAGCAAATACAAACACAATTAAGTCCATTCTTATAAATAACTCAGAATTTTTCTCTATACTATCATCTTCCCTTGGGCCCCATAGCCCTGATACAGATCGTTTAAGAAGTATATTCACATGGAACAGTTTTAAAACTATAGCTGATAATTGCAATCACAGCAGTTGCTTTAATTTACCAGCAAGAACTACTGAGATATACAAAAAAAAACACTCATCCTGTCTGATCTTTCTATTCTTGAATGGGCATACCTGGTCTGGCACACCACCACAGGCAAATCCAAGAAAACAGGAGAAATGTCACAGGGGATGGTTGGGAGCTCAGGCACCACCACATTCACCAGGTTTATCTCCAGCTGGGAGCCACTGCTGGGATAAAGGAGCTCCAACTCCAAACCTAAGCACAAGGGAAAAGGGAAATCTCAAGCCGAGCAAAGAGACAGTCCACACGAGATAACATAAAAACATAGCCACAGGGGGGTAATGTGAGACACTGAGCTCACCCAAAGATTTAGTACTCCTCAATTCCAAAGACACTTATAAAGAGCTTTCCCTCATCGAGTCCACATAAATCCAGGCAAGTATTTTTCAGCCCTCAATGTTATTCTTTACTATGGCATAGACGAGTATGCTAAGTTATGGTTTAGAAGTTGCCAAGTGTAGAATTTACAAGGAAGATAACCAAGCTGCTGAGGGACACATTAGCAAGTGCTATGCTGTGCATTTCTATATATCATCATATTTAGAGTTCCTAGAAATCCCATCCTACATGTTGAGTTAAGGAAGTGAACATAAATATATGGTGGTGTGATGTGTTCTGCTTCTGTGACATTAGCTAGTAAGCGTCTGCAAAGCTAAGTTGGTTGGTTGGTCCATCTTCCTTCAAGCCCTTCCTCCCATCTCACAACCTCAGGTCAGCCAAGTGTTCCATGTTCTTAGTTTGTCAATCTGTTATCCTTAGACAAGAAAGAACACCATAGTCTCATATTTTTTTAGGATTGTGATTCAGTAAACAAGAAACTTGCATTTGATAAGACCCAAACCTACCATCAAAAATGACTGTGATCCATGTTCCCCCTGCAAGACTGCCTTCTTCAGGTTCAATATGTAAACTCAGGCCAGGCACTGTAAATAAGTGAGAGGAAGCTTGGTTTTTCTCCAATCCACCAGCTTCCAATGTTTCAGAGCAAAATATCGCATACATTAGAATCACCGGAAGGAGTTGTTAACACACAGACTGGCATGGGGTGGGTCCAGAATTTACATTTCTAACAATTTCCCAGGTGATGCTGGTCTAGGACATATACTTTCAGAACCCTCAATTTCAGGGAAAGCCTGACTAATCTTATTTTAGGCATCTAAAAACCCAGTGTTCACCAGGACAATCGTGAATTTCCGCTTCTTTGAAGAGAGCCTCAAGGACTCATTTGGTTCCTCTCTCCTCTCTTTGCCATTCTTTATTCAGATGGCCATATGCCATCTTGTATTCCTTATATTCTTGTATTTCCACTTCCCCGAGAGGACAAACGAAGCTGTCCCTATTTTAATTCTCCTGCTCATTAAACCATCCACCAATTCCTCTTCTTCAATACATGGTCAGGATCACTCACTTTATCATCTCGAAATCATATAAGATTTCCTAGTTTGTTGTCCAACTACCCCTTACCATCCCCCTTTTCCTGCAATTTCAGTTATCATCCTCTACCCTTGCCTTGCACATGAATCATTGGTGGAATTTCTTTAAATAAAACAAGTTATGGATCTAACATGCTAAGTTAGATTGGGTTCTTCTGTAGAAGGGTTCATTGTTTTTAACAATAGCCTATTACATTCATTTTTAAAATTCTGTTTGGGGTTATATTATGAAATTCTTTTTAGATTTTATTACTTTCTATTTCCAAAAGGAATCAGCTGAGCATGACCTTAATCCATCCCTCCATCTTTACAGATGTTCCTGGATATGCAACATGAATATAAAGATAATTCAAAGAAATTAGCAAAAATCAGTCATGTCTTCAATTAGGTCATATGCAAAGAAAGGGTTATCTACAGAATACTTTTTAAATTTCCATATCAGAAAGGTTAAGGGATAATCCAGGACACCTTAACTGTGGCCAGCCCAGGGCTTCTATGTACAGTTAAGTTATTCAATTGGTACACTGGGTGGTGGGGAACCATTCACAGCTATACAACTAGACCTTGTTAGATCAGCCCATCTCGACCCTTCAAACGTATATTATGTACTTCTGCCTATGGGAGACTATAAGCAAATACTATAAAAAGATACCCAGAATAATCCAATTTACAAAGAAAATTGGGGACATGATGTATGTAAGAAAAGGAGATTTTAATGGAAGTGGTCATTTATCAATCATTAAAACAAGATAAGCTACCCTATTTTGGACTGTAAAGTAATAAAATCTAAAAAGAATTGCATATAACACAAGAAGGAATTTTTTTTAAAAAATGAATGTCACATGCTATTGTTAAAAGCAATGGACTATATATAACAGTAACCTCCACTGGCTGTTAAAAACTAAAGTACATATTTATAATTATTTTCTATACAACCTCAACTATTGAACAGAAAGTATTGTTGAACAAAAAAGTAAACCTAGAAGCAAATATTTCAACATCTCTCCCAAAATAATACTTTTAATATCAATACACTAGTTTTTAAGGTAACTTATTATATTTTTAGGAGGTCTGGTGGTTGAATAAGGAGCTCTGGTGGCGTAGTGGATGAGGTACTTGGCTGCTAACCAGAAGGTCAGCAGTTCAAACCCACCAGCTGCTCTATGAGAGGAAGATGGGGCAATCTAATTCCATAAAGATTTACAGCCTTGGAAACCCAATGGGAGTCACTATGAGTAGTAAGCAACTCGATGGCATTGAGGGGTTGTTTTTTTTTTTTTTTTTTTTTGGTTTAGTGGTTGAACGGTTAAGTGCTTGGCTATTAACCAAAAGGTCAGCAGTTCAAACCTACTAAGCCATTACATGGAAGAAAGATGTAGTAGCCTGCTTCTATAAAATTTACAACCTTGGAAACTCTGGGGAGCAGTTCTACTCTGAACTTTGCACTGAGTCAGAATCAACTTCATGGCAATAGGATATTATGTTTTTATCTATAATCTCTTCAATAGAAATCTTAACTCACCTGTCAAAAGTAGTCCCTCAATACTCATCAGAGAGATTAGCCAGACAGTCATCTTGCTCTCTTAAACAAAGCCTCCTAAGATTACTCAGACATTAAAAGCATTCTTGATTTTTATTGTAGCAACGTAGCTTTACTGCTCTATAAAAAACAATATGAAAAATTATTATTATCATTTTTTGCTTACATACTGTTTCTTTGCTGTGTTGAAATTTGAAATTTGAGAAATTAGAGAGGTGATACAAATATGGCTCTGGAGTCTTCAAAGGGAACTGTCATCTTTCCAAGTCCTGGAGAAAATAATCCTATTGAGGTTGTTAATGTATGTGTTAACTTGACTAGGACATGATTCTCAGTATTATGTAATTATCCTCCATTTTTTGATCTGATGTAAGGGGAAATTCCTTGATGGAATATATATAGTTGTTCTGGCAAAACTTTCTCACTCTCCATCCTACATCGAACTCATCATCTGACCTCTGATTCTTAGGTCATGAGCCAGCAGCCTGCCATCTGATACGACAATTTGGAGTTTGTCAGCACCTGCAACCATGTGCATCAGGAGACGCCTCCAACCAGATACTTGACCTACAGATTTGAGACATGGCAGCTGCACCAACTGTGTCAGCCATTTCCATGAAATAAATCTATATATATACACTTCACTGGTTTTGCTCCTCCATAGAACTCAGCCTAAGACATTTGATACCCAGAGTGGTTCTAGAGGAATAAAATCATAAAGATGAGTTTTCTGAATTTGTTCTCAACTCTAGTTAGTCTTACAGATACTGATGACTCTGCCTCCAGTTGTAAAGAGGGCACTGCTGATCCATGGTGTGAGCTGGCAATAGAAACATGAAAGTATCATCACCATTGGATCAACTATTTATGAGAGGCAAGGCCCTGGATCATTTCATATTTGATACTTTTCTGCAGTTATGTCAGAATGAGAAGTATAAGGAAGCTGGTTGGTAGGTCCTACTTATACTAGCTAAAGTGGTAAAAGAAAGGGATGAGCTCAAAGCTTCAGAGTCACAGCTCAAGTACCACATACAAGTCCTGAAAGTTGCCACTTATGCCCTGAAAGAAAGCTTTATTTCTTGTAGTAGTATAGCTGATCTTGCCCGGAACCAAACCCAAAGTCTTATAATAAGGGTAGCTGAATTATAATGCCAATTGAATTCCCAATCTCAAATGGTGTCTGAAAATCATTTATTGAGATATGGGATCCTAAAACTTTGGATGGGACTATATTGGTAGATAATCAGGAAGCCGGGGACACTGAGCCACTAAATTCTGTTGAATCACTCCTGTCAATAAAACCAGCCATCTGACTCCCATCTGAAGAGATTAATCCGTCTTTGCCTACTAAGCCATCTGTGGTAGTTAAAGTTGTGTGTCAACTTGGTTGGGCCTGGTTGAGTGGCTGGGAAGCTGGTGGTAGTTATTCCCCATGATGAGACTGGCAAACAACTACATGGTGAGATCTACCATAAGCAGCTGAGTAGCTGTTTTAGGGATGTGGTCTGCTTCCTGTATATAAGAAGCAGCTTTGGGAACAGTCTCTAGTTTATGACATATTTGAACCCTGCATGTAGCCGAGTCGTTGTTCAGCAGCCTGCCATGCTCTGCCAACCTTGGGATTATCAATGGACTTGAATTAGTGGCCTGCTGCGTTGTTTGGTAACATTGGGACTGTGCCTTTTTACTTGTCAACCTTGGGTTTGTCAGCCTCAGCAGCCAACAGCTGTCTGAGTGAAGAAAAGCCTCCAGCTTCAGTGGGCTGGAAGCAGGTGGCAAAGCTGAAGCCCAAGGTTGAGGGGCTTTCACCCAGTCCCTAGAGCCTGGCACTCTGAACTTGGACTCAATGCCTCCAAACTGTAAGAGAATAAACTCCGGTTTGTTAAAGCCATCCCATTTTTTTCTGTTAGAGCAGCACAGAGGTAACCAATACACCATCCTTCTCAATAAAACTACTATCCCTTCCACCTCTGTCTGATGAGATTAGCCTAGCTATGCGTGAAGAGTCTTGGTCTGAGGTATCACCTAGGGTGGTGCTTGGGGTGTTGCCTGGGACATTGCTTGAGATATATGCTTTACAAGATATTGCTGAATATCCCTAGAACCCACTCCATCATTTTTGCTTTTAGACCTATAAATAGACTTAAGGTCCAGTGACCCACAGAGGTGAAATACAGTGTGACCCAGGAGGAGATATGCTACACTCTAAAAGAACTGTTTGACTTTTCTAATATATACAAACAGAAACCTGAGGAATATGTCTGAGAATGGGTATTAAGGGTGTGGGATAATGGTGCAAGGAACATAAAGTTGAATCCGTCTGAGTTTACTGATATGGGACTATGAAGCACAGACTCTTCATACAATGAGAGGTTAGAAAATTATCTAATAGTTTATTTGGTTGGTTCACTGAAACTTGGATTAAGTAAGTGGTGGCCTACACTAAATCCAGTTGAAATCCCAGAGTTGTCTTGATATACTGTAGAAGAAGGTATCCAAAGGCTTAGGGAAATTGACATATTAGTGTGGATTTAGTAGATTGGACCCACAGACCCACCCATGAACTTCCCATAGAACATAGCTTTTACCTCAAAGAAGAACAAATTTGTGAAGGGAGCTACAGCATCCTTGAAGACTGCTGTGATTGCTATTTTACATAAGTCAGATTTGACAGGGGAAACTGCCCTAATTGAATTAAGACACTTAACTACACTGGGGATGATTGGATCCTGTGGTGGTAGGTGCCAAGTGGCAGCACTAATCGACAAAGACAAGGTGGATATGATTGCCATAATGAACAGCAGAATCAAAGCAGTAATCAGGATAGTCTGACTCATATGGACTTAGGATATTGACTACTTAGTCATAGTTCCCTAAGAGTGAAATAGATGGGAAATCTACTAAAGATTTACTTGATCTATACAAGCTGAAGAATTCTAGCTCAAATGAATGTCAGTCTAATTTGAATTGTCAGAATAGAGAGTCACAGCCCCTCAATCAATTCCCAGATTTGAGCCATTTTATAGACCCACTACCCCTTTGAATGAAGAGAAAGCCAGGTCCCCTTGAGGAAAGACCCCAGTAAAACCCTAAAATTTATAGTCTTCCCCCAGCCTTCCCCAAAGAGATCTAAGGCCTTTTATAAGAGTGACTGTTCATTGAAGAAAAGGAAATAATTGGACTTTTCAGGGATTACAAGGCACTGCCTCTGAACTAACACTAATTCCAAGAGACCCAAAATGTCACTGTGACCCACCAGTCAGAGTAGAAGCATATAGAGGTCAAGGTATTAAAGGAATCTTAGCTCAAGTCTATCCCACAGTAGGCCAAATGTGTCCCCAAACACAACCTATAGTGATTTCCCCAGTTCCACAATCCATAATTAGAATAGATATAATCAGCAACTGATAAAACCCACACATTGGATCAGTGACATGTGGAGTAAAGGATATCATGGTTGGAAAAACTAATTAGAAGCTATAAAAACTGCCCCTACCTGTGAAAATAGTTACCCAAAAGCCTACTGGAGGAGGAGCTCTGGTGGCGTAGTGCCTAAGGCACTTGACTGCTAACCAGAAGGCTGGCAGTTCAAACCCACCAGCCACTCCTCAGAAGGAAGTTTGGGCAATCTACTTCCACAGTGATACTGCCTCGGAAACCCAAGGAGGGGTCACTATGAGTCAGGTCTGACTCAACAGCACATAACAACAACAACACTACTGGAGGGATTGCAGAGGTTACTGTGACTATCAAGAACTTGAAGGGTGCTGGGGTGGTGATTCTAACTACATCCTCCTTCAACTCACCTATGTGGCCTGTACAAAAAAAAAAAAAAAGATAGATCTTGGAGAATGATAGTGGATTACTGAAAACTTAACCCAGCAGTGGCTCCAATTATGGCTGCTGTTCCAGATGTGATTTCATTGTTTGAGCAAATTAGTACATAACCTGGTAGCTGGTATGCAGCTACTGATCTGACCAATGTCTTTTTCTCCATAACTGTTTCAAAGGACCACCAGAAGCAGTTTGCCTTCAGTTGTCAAGGCCAGCAATACATCTCTACTGTTCTACCTCAAAGGTATAATAGCTCTCCAATCCTATGTCATAATTAATCTGCAAGGAACTTGATCATATACCTCTTCCACAAGACATCACACTGGTCCATTACATTGATGGCATTATTCTGATTGGACCTAGTGAGGAAGAAATTTCCACAACTTTAGACTTATTAGTAAGATATTTGCATGCTAGAGTGTAGGAAATTGATCTGACAAAAATTCAGGTGCCTTCCACCTCTGAAATTTCTAGCAGTCCAGTGATGTGGGCATGTTGATATATTCTTTCTAAATTAAAGATAAGTTTTTGCATCTGGCCTTTTCTACAACTGAAAAGGAGGTACAACACCTGGTGGACTTCTTTGGATTTTGGAGGAAAGTATATCCCTGGTGGCATAGTGGATAAAGCACTTGACTGCTAACCAGAAGGTTAGTGGTTCAAACCCACCAGCTGCTCCATGGAAGAAAGATGGGGTGATCTACTTCTGTAAAGGTTTACACCCTCAGAAACCCAATAGGGGTGGCTATGAGTTGGAAACTACTCAATGACAGTGAGTTTGTTTACTTTTTTTTATATCCCTCATTTGGTTGTGCTACTCCAACTATTTATCAAGTGATTCAAAAAGATGCTAATTTTGATTGAGGCCCAGAACAAGAGAAGGCTTGTAACAATTTCATGCTGTCATGCAAACCACTCTTCTGCTTGGGCCATATGATTCAGTTGATCCAAAGGTACTTGAAGGGTCAGTAGCAGATAGCAATGCTATTTGAAGTCTTCGGCAGGTCCCTACTGGTGAATCACAGCACAGACCTTTAGGATTTTGGAGCAAAGTTTTGCCATCCTCTGCAGATAACTACTCTCCTTTTGAGAAACAACTTTTGGCTTGATACTGAATCTCAGTAGAGACTGAACACTTAAACATGGGCCACCAATTCACCTTGTGGCCTGAGCTGCCCATCATGAACTGGGCATAAAGTC